GGCCTACCTTAGACTCACCACTTGACCACTTGCCGACCTTCTAGAAGGACTAAAGCTGGGCTTCTGGACTCTACTTGGACTCCTACCCTACAGGTCTACAGTTCGAATCTYCCTACAGCCTACAACCTACGGTGACCTACTTACCACTGGCTATCGTGCAGGTCACGGGTTCAACTCCAGGGAACTGTACAGATACTGTACACAGGTAAGCTGAGGTCAAGGGATCGACCCCTGGGATCTGCATCGGCTACTGCCAAAGGTGAAAACTGTTTCATGTGCCTCAGACAGGTGTAGGTTAGCATATGTGTACGTACAGGGACAGACCCTTGCTGCAGTACTTACCTGAATCAAAAGGCTAGGGGTAGGAGTAGAATATGTCAGCACCCAGGTATTCGGAGAGGCCTAGGAGCAAGGTAGGATTCCAGAAAGTAATGATGGTAGCAAGTCCGTATCTAGTGATATCTAAGTCTAGGTTTGGAGTCCGTAGGTAAATGATGCTCAGTCAGAAGGCAGTGATGCTGCTACTCTGACAAGAGGGTGAAGAGACGGCACCTGGGTGAGCTGGGAGGAGCTGAGGATGATGGGAGAGAGCTCCATAGGGAGGGAGGGAGCTGAGGATGATGGGAGGAGCTGAAGATGACAGAAGAGAGCTCCATAGGGAAGAGATCTATGTAGTAGTAGAGAATGGCACTAGCGTTGCCCATTGAACATCCATTCATGGCAGAAACAAACGGCCGTAGATGTCATTTCAGCAAGGTGGTGCGAAGAGGATGGAGGGGATCTAAAGGGGATATCATTTGGACTCTGATTTTGGTTCATCTATTCATTCATTGCTACCATATTTCATAATAACGAGTTATGTCAGAGATGATTATGGAGGTGGAGAGGAGAGGGGAGGAGACATTGTTCTGATCTTTACTTTTTCTTCTTCCAAAGGTTAGGCAGGTGTGAGCAAGCAAGTTCTCCATTCTCTTCTCTACATTGTCTTATTCCACTTCTCGTCGATTGGCGATGAACTGCATTCACTCGCAGAATTGCACAGGTGCAGCATGTTTTTCGCATCGTTGATCATAGAGACTATCACGGTAGAATCAGTGACTGAGGTGAAGTCGTAACAAGGTAGCCGTAGGGGAACCTGCGGTTGGATAGACTCCTTTCCAATATACATACCCAGATTTGATTTAATGTCGGTGTCTTCGTGTGTTTGTCGGCCCACCCCTGTGCCCAAGTCGTTACCGAGCAAGCCAGCCCAACCACTCTTATTTACCCTCGTACGGCGACGAGCCTTCCTGTCCATGTGATCTGGCTGATCAGGAGGAATTTATAGAGCGCCCCCATCTCTTCAGGAATTATTTAACGTCACAGTCAGGACGACGATCACAGCCAGATTCACAATGAATTCCTAACCAGAAATCTTTATAGACGGTCTGGTAAGCATCTGTCATGGGCTGGCACACCCGGCAGGACTTCTATTCAGCGCAGCAAGTGCCAAAATGGACAGCAGCCATCGCATGCGTGACCTACTCCCATTGGGTTGATCAAAGGCGCGAAGCACAATTCCGAGTATCCGGGTACTATTGTAGGACATGAAAACACCCGATCCCATTCCGACCTCGATCCGTGAAATCGTCTTACGCCATATGTACTGATTTATTTTGGGAGACATGGTTCAAGCCCGGACCTGCAACAATCAGAATGTATCTTGACAACTACCCACCTCAGTAATAGATCTTGAACCCCGCTCTCAGCACTCCAAGATACATTCTATGACCGTTTCAGCACATAACAAGAAACCATGAATCCAGGGGAAAACGACAAGACACCTTTTTCGCAACTGTGTTTCAATGTTTGGGTGCAGCTGACTAACACAACACACTATTTAGACTGCTCTCCGTTTTCTTCCTCTCCCACATTTCGGCTCTCCCTCTTCCTCGCCCTTCCTAAGTTCCCTCTCTTACCCACCCCACTGCCACACCTGGGTGCAGCTCACTAACACAACACGCTATTTAGACTCCTCTCCGTTTTCTTCCTCTCCCACATTTCGGCTCTCCCTCTTCCCCACCCTTACTGTCCGGTTCCCTCTCTTACCCACCCCACTTCCACACCTTCCCCCCTTTACAACTATTTTTCAATGTTTGAAGCTTGAACTGTTGACGTACCGGATCTGATATCTTGTCAATATCCACAGCTCCATCATATGTGATGTAATAAAACACGTTTGCTGCTGTGATTGCATGAGGGCCTCTTTGCTTGTACCTGCCATGAAACACGCGCACAAATGTCTCAGGATTTAGCATCATCACTCCATTACTTCTGGCGGCACCTGCAAGTAGACCCTGGACCCTGCAGCTACCACCTACCAGAACCTTCAGATACCAGCTTAAACCACCACTACATGCCTCACATCGGTTGCAGGCCCCTGTCAGAGGGCTGAAACGCGACATCGGCCACCGATTTATTTTATCAACGGCACGCCGGCGCCGACCAGGCAACAAAACATTTTCAGCAAGGCTGGGGCCATGTACTGGCGGCTTTAAGCCCCAGTACATGGGCACCTGGGCTGTGGGCTTGACACCTCAAAATCTGTAGGCGCGAAACGAAAACGCTACCACCGATTGAATTTATCAACAGCGGGCCCAGCGTTTGATTTTCTTGTGGCAACAAGTTTCGGACTGCAAGGCTGGGGCCGTGTACTTGTGGTTGAAGACCTGGAGGTCTATGTTTCTGCAACCTGAAGGGACACTACAGGGACCTGCTACAGGGACCTGCTGGAACCTGTGTGTCTGTGTTGTCATGTTCACAAAACGTACTCCACGAAACAAACAAGACTGCACCAGACGGCTCCGTTGGACTTTCACCGACTCGTCAGGAGGCGGAACTCGGACAGTCTTCCCAGGGTACGCCAAAAATGAGTGTTCCCTAAGAGTGGAACCAAAACCTCGCCATGCAAAAAAGAAAAGAAAAGAATGTGACTCACAAGCAATCAAAAAGTGCGCTTGAACGTGGAATACCAGTAGTTTTCTGTCTGAATTTGGTGTTAGTGATCCCTTACGCCTTTAACAACAGCAATATGAACAATCAGTCCATAGAAAAGATGACACAGCTGGTCCTTATAAAACCACCAGTATCGGTTCAGGACCAAAATGGCTGGTGGTGCCATCCAAAATGAAAACAAAACTGCCGCCGCCCTATCCTTTTGCACAAGATCAATAGCAAGAGGGCTTTTCAGAAGCTTCACTCTTTCTTCCTTCCTCTTCTGCGGAATGAAGTACTTCACTTACCCAAAGATCAAATCAATCCACTCATGCAAATGAGCACTGACATATTCACTTTCCAATGCTGCCCTATGCTTTTGAACAAAATCAATAGCATTATCTGCCCAAGGTGGAAGACTCACGTCTCCTGCAAGACGAACCAAAAGGACAGCAGGTCAGTAAACAACACACATAACGCATGAAATAGCGATCGGAAAGAGGACTACATCATTCCGCAAGTTTTTGTTTTGATTACACAGCATTACAGTCTGTAATCGATCTATATTCAAAAAAATAATAAAAATTCGGATTCAAATTTCAATAGAGATACAGCTGCACTTCAGCATCGCTTGATGGAAAATGGAAAAAGAAACCCTTTTCCCATAAGGAGATGTTTTTCTCCCAAAACACACAGCTGCACTCCACTGCATTTTCGTATGACAGATTCCAACAGAGGGATCTGAGAAGGGACTCAGGGAAAGGCAAGCTGGCAGTCAATCCTCCAATGCAGTGGAGTAATCAATACTGATCAGGGACCCTTCGGCCAGACGGAAGGGTGTGTGTGTGTGCAATGATGTAATTCTGTTATTTTGACTTGCCGGGGGAATATGAACCGGACTGACGCCCCCGAGAATGGATCAATAGCCAGGACCATAAGGACCTGTTATTTTTATTTTATTTTATTTGGGCCCTGCCGGGCAAAGGTCCTGGGCCACTCTCTCTTTCCTCCTTTCTCTCTGTCTTTCAAAGTCTACCCCTCGCTCCCATTCTTCCCCCMCTCTCTCTTCCCCCCCCTCTCTTCCCCCCCTGCCTCCCTCTCTCTCTCTCTCTCAAACGCACACACGGCGCACAGACACACACACACATAAAAAAGGAAAACAAATAGAAAAAGGGAAAAGAGAACAAAACAAAACAGTGAGTAAGCCAAATGCCCTGAAAATTAATAGGCATGTCCTCTACATGCTACAGAACTCACCAAAACAAATTCAAGTCCCCAAAATGATTTTTGGCAGGGGGGACCAAACTTTGGGAAGTTCGGCCCCCTCACGTTCGGCCGGACCCCCGAATATTCGGGGGTGTAACACTGGTTTGGCCTAGATTGTGTTTGTTCACCGAGTCGTTCAATGGCTGCAATCAGCACACCATTGTGCAAAAGTCGACGTATCTTCCCAGAAATGTCAATTTCACAGCTTCAAGAAGCCCAAGCAGGAGATGGTATTTCCCTAAAAGCTTCGCCCTTTTTTCCCCTTCATGTTTTCCTTCTTCGAATTATCAAAATTGGTGTTTCGCTAATCCTAGTTGTTCACAAGCACAGTCCTTCAGGACATCCATTAAAAACTAAATTGGAACGACAGAAGATCAGTATGGTCCTCCACAAGCATGACACACATATTGAGAAATGGTCCAAACTTCTTATTACAGCACATAAAGGATACAATGGACAAAATCATCAAGCGGCCTAAGGTCAGTTCGTAAGCCACGCAAGTGACATTTAGGAGGTCGTAAGTTCAATCACCGACAGCATTTAGGAGGCCCGCTTGCTGCAAACCATCTGAGATAGTCAGCTTGACCCCTGTGGTCGGCATTAGTAAGGTCTTTAGCCAACAAGGACGCAAGTATATGACCGTGAGTGTGAGTGGGTTGTGTGGAACAGTGTTCGCCACAGACACTGCTGTCACTCAACCCTGGAGAGAAATGCTCTCAGGTCGAGGACATACAAATACCCATAGCGATAGCCTACTCCCCCCCTCCCACCTTCCCACCGGCTCTCCAAACCAACACACACACACCAAACCGTAACACATCTCCCGCCCCCAAACACGCACACATACATACTTTAACCTCACACCCTCCTAATCCCGCTCTCCACGAATACACACATCAAACAGACACAGCGATGTCGCCTGTCGCCCTCCCCTCTCTCCCCATACCTACCAACGCAAACGTGCACACAGACACTGCCACACATGCACACGTACATGGCCAGTGACATTGATAAAAACTGAAAACACAAGGCAAATGAGAATGATGCTTCTGGTTCCTGTCAACCTCCTCTTTAGAATGTTACGAATCCCATAACTGATGGTCACGATCATGTTAGCCCTTAGGCAGGTCAATGCTGACCATCAAGAGAGTTACTATTCAAGGACCATGGTCCCCCGGTGGCCAACAAGAGTGCAAAGAATAGAAACACAACGATAATGGCCTAATGCTCACTGGCTGTCAACAAAGTCTTTTTCGGCGTACCAGGTCCAGACAAAGGCCTCTGAAAGGTTCCCTTTGTGAACCAGATTAGTCGAACCTCACATCCAAACTGCAGCCCTACCGGATTGCGTATCAGGTACAGATAAAAGCTTTTGACAGCAGTCCGTCCACCATTTGGGGCACTTACCAAGTATTTCCCCTTTCTGGGTTCTCCCCAGATCTAACGAGTTCTGGTTAATGAACATTTCTGGAAGAAAGAAGAACTCTGGCACCTGCAAAACCAGCAACACGAGCCAAGGAATGGTCTCCGGATCACAACGCAATACAGGACATTAAAGACCCCCAGAACAAAAACCACTACGCTCTCCCAGTCATGACATGCTTTCTGACTCAGCAAGCCCCTCACGAGCAGCCAGCATACCCAGAGCTCGAATCTAGTTCCAGCGACAGCCAGCACAGAATGTCCAATGTCAAAAGGGAAACCACGCCCTCCACAATTATTCCTCCACTTCAAAACATGAGTACATACCTCCAAAGCCATTGAGACGTACAGCGGACATTCACAGATTTCACACGCATACGATCAGTCAGATTCGACACCAGAGCTAAGAGTTGTAGCCTTCCTTCCTGCAACTTCTGGGCTTATTTGTAGCAGGAGTTGTAGCAGGAGTCGAACACACTCCAGATTTGTGGGAACGCAACCCATAACCAGAAACACTGACTGGCGCTCCTGGAGCTGCTTGAAATGCAGCTTCTGAATGAAATGTTTAATGAACAGGACGTGCAAATGGTCCTCCATGGCTACAATCACCATACTTACACATGGTGGAGTAAGGGACCGAACTCTAAAATGGGTAAGGATTAGGATTCCCAAGGGAAGTAAAATCAATGGCGCCCACTTGGACCCACCCGCCATAATGGGGAGGAGGGTGTGCGAGTATCATTTTGTATCTTGTCTGACTTGCCAGTGGACGGACTACCACTCCCCAGAATAGAAGGAGCCTTGTTTCGAAAAAAGAAAAAAGAAAAAAAAAAAGCGACTCACCAGCTCCTTGACATCACTCATGTCCTCGAGGACACCTCGCCACGTGGCTCCCACATCCCCGAACATCCGATCTGCATGATCAAATTTCCCACCTTGAAGCTGGACCGCCAGAGAGGTATACGGCTCTACTCTCAACAAATAGTACAAAACCTGGTCAAGGCAGCCAACAAAGAACATCATAATGTCCAACCGCATTAGCACACTAAGACCAGGTGCGATGAACCACGTTCCTTGAGGTAAACTCCCATGAATGCAAGCAACTAAAATTCGCTCACAGCCAGCAATCAACTCAAACAATTTCCTCCTCCGTCCTCGACACCTTCGACAAATCATCATCATAGTTTGATAGTGTACATATGCTTCAACGTCACACCAAGAATCAACAACCAGGAAACCGCCTGAAAGAATAGTTTCCCAAGTCTTTCTCTCCTCTCTCCTCCGACAACATAGCCTCCTTCCTGAGTTCCCATCCGCTGGGTAACAGGAACCTACTGACTTCCTTGCCCCTGATGGAGAAGTGCTACTCCCTCAACTATAGCCCAGTAGCTACAGCTCCAAGCCAGCGCAAGTGCATGAATTTCTCATGAGCGCAAATGGGACTCTCTTTCATCAACGCTGACGCACCCTGGCAACATCAATCAGTGCCATTGGGCTTGTATGTCGATGACCAGTCAGCCTCTTGGCACACTCCATTTTCGGGATCTGGGCCCTGAAAACAATGTATCAAAAGATTCAAAACCCAATTCGAACACAAGCCACCTGTGCAGCATTTGCATTACTGCATCCGAAGAAACTTGTAAACGATATGTATCGAAAGATTCGAAACGCAATTTGAACACAAGCCACCCACCCATTAGCAAAACCAAATTCGAACACTAGCCACCCAACCATTGCGAAGGTATCATGCTGAAAACCATCTGTACATGCAACAAAGCTGGGAAGGAATTCAAAAACTCACTGTTCCTGCGTTCGAGTAATGTGACCCATAGTGGAACTTGGGAATCAATGGGTCATCCAGATTGTCATATCTCTCAAGGAACTTCTCAAGTCGCACAGGGTTCAGAGCCCCGATTGGCTGCACGGGTCACCATGTCAGAGCAACAAACACAGGGTTCAAACCAAGAGAAATGCCAGACGAAAGATGAAATAATTGTGTTAGGCCACATATACCTGTTGTAGATAGCAAAGAACAGAGTCAACCGGTATGACTACAACACATAATAAGAAAAATGGATCCTATGATGACATGAAAGTTGATGAAAGCCATGAGATCCAGTAGCTAAAAAGAATGTAGAGCCATATATCCCATGAGAGATGGTAAAAGGAATTTCTACATAGTCCATTTCCTTGAAATGCAGTAAAAACTCAAGCTACAAAAATAGTGGCTGATATGCCATAAAGGGCTTGTTGTTTTAAACCAGCTCCCTTCTGGAGCATAGAACCTACAATGTACACTCATTATTATGGCTGTATCCTGCCTGAAAGTTGCTCGAACACAGATGCTTTCTATTCGGGGGCTCACTGTAGTCTATAGCTCTTATGACTGTAGCATTACGTACGATTCCAAGAATACTGCTATCGGCCATACATATAGCTCTCTATAGGTGTAGGCAGCTATAGGTGTAGGCAGCTATAGGTATAGCCAGCTGTTGGTACAACCTCCTACTATAGGTACTAGCCTCTGATTGGTACACCTTGCTCAACAAAATAGCCTGGGATGGTTTGTCTTGGCATTATTGTGCGGAACTTCACTCTAACAGAATTTGTGGCATTATTGTACACGAATACAATGCTTGTGATTAAAATGGCTTGCCCGAAAGCCCTTCGCCATCCACATTGTGTTCTTTTTCTTCTTTTGTTTTTTTTGGAAACAGGTCCTCATGGTCCTGACTCCATGTGCATTCCTTTTCCCCCGGCAAGGACCCCTGAACAGCATTTGATTGCTCCATATATCTTTCGGAAGATTAACTACGGACTGAACCTGTCAGCTTCGCTCTTCTAAATTAAACAAAAACTGCAAACGATCATATACAGCAACCATAAGCCCAAGAACTTTTCCAGCAGCTCGAAAAGCTATACAAGTCAACTTTGACGTCCAGCCACACAGTCCTCCAAAAGCGGACAGCGGAACCCCATTTGACCAGATGTTCTCATAACAACTTTCAAAGAAAAAGAAAAGAGAAAAACAAACAAACAGACTTGTGCAGAAATCGCACGATGGCTAACATCTTCAACTCACTCAGGAGGACAAGATCAAAGAATCAGGGCCTCGCCACACGACTGTTGAAACGAGAAAAGGACGAGTGCATCCTGCGCCGAAGGTGTTAAGATGCATCCGTCGCTGTTTAAAGTAACGGTTGCATCTTCCCACTCTCTGCCGAAAGATGCGATCCTACTTTTTTGGTTTCGACAGTGGTGTGGCGAGGGCCTTATAAAGCAACTTAGCAAATTCATTCACATTACTTTTACAGCATCAATGATGCTGATGACGCGAAGCAACGGCCACAGAACACTTGATTTCTTCAGTAGCACCGGATCAATTAAATTTTGCCGCTTTCGGCCACAGAACACTTGATTTCTTCAGTAGCACCGGATCAATTAAATTTTGCCGCTTTCTATCAAGTTTCTAGTAAAGATCGATATTGCAGACCCATTCACTTCGCGTCGACTGAACGCAGAAGCTGTTGAACAATTGGTGATCATGTTGCTTTCACGTGATTTTTCACTCCCATCCATGTCCACCTTTCCACCTCAGCTGTTTTTCTGGGCTCCAGGGCACCAAACTTATGCCCGGGTACACACCCGGGTGCCCGGCCGTGAATGACGCCCGGGCAGGGCTCCAGGCAGGCCCAGCACCAAAAAAAAAAAAAAAAAAAAAAAAAAAAACTGAAAAACAAATATGTTTGCAATACAAACGACTTTTGGCTGAGGTTCAAATTAGAATTCATAACAGAATCAGAGATAAAAAAGAAAATAACAGAATCACACCAAGGCACCGTGCTTGGGTACTCGGCCGGGGGTGAGAGTCTTCCTCACTTTTCACTCATTTTTCTGTCCCAGGGTTAGTGCTGATTAATGTTTATCTTTTCAAGGGTGAAGATCTTATCCTCTGCTACAATGGATACTGGTGACAGACAACTTGAAATAAGCAAAAGGGGTAAATAACAAACCTTTGAGAGGTCCCGGAAAACAGAGGGATCGTTCAGATCCAATGTCCCTGAAGAGTAATCCTGCAGAACCCAGGGGAAAACAGGGTACTGGAGGATCCCAGATGACAATGCAGGAAAACCGAGTTAGATAAATGATTTAGAAGACCTGCACAAGGACATCATGATGGGTGTGATTGTACCGGGTTGCACACAGCATGCAAGAGCAGATATCTAGACATTGAAAATGATTTTAGAAATGTGACGGTTACCTCAAATATGCTGCATAATCCAGACAAAATTAAACATGATCAAAGCAAAACAACTTCAACAAAAACAGAAAGCGAGCACACTTGGAAAATGAGCATTCGGCGAAAAGGGGTCAGTGCAGATATTATTCTCTAACCTGCCATGCAAGTGACAAGAGTCCCAATGAAACCCATGAAGGTGTTCAAAAGTTTCGAAATCATTTTGTATTTCTGGGAATAAGCGTAACACAGGTCCAGTACTTGTGGCTGTCCATTTGCAGGATCTGACAACTCTCATACTAATTAAAGGTACTCAGCCTCCACAGCGCAAGCGGCACTTTGCGATTTGCATTCATTTTTCTTTATCTAAGAAGCCGATGCTGGAGACAGTTTGATATTCAATGGCCAAGCAGAGCAAGATTAAAATCTCCACAAACACGTAGTTGTAACCTTCACATGATATCTTCACTGAAACCTTCACATGATATCTTCACTGAAACATACGAACACAGCGCTAATCTTCACAGACAAGTATCAACACAGCAAACTACATACCGCATTCTCAATGTCTGATTTACTCACCTGCGTGATATCATTATACGACCTGCCAGCTAATGTGTTGAGTTGCATCAAGTACTCAAAATTGCTAATCTGCATCATACACACGCCAATTGAATTACCACAAGTCAATGACAGACAGATAACACCCGTCTGGGTAAATGAAACATGTCTTTTTTTTGTAGGGTTCAGGGTTCAGGAATTGCAGTTGAAACACTGAGTGGGGTGGCATGCAAATTTGCAAAAAGTGTGTTCATGTCAACTGGTCTGCCAAGACCGACATGTACCCTGACGAACTACAGCAGGGAAAAACCCGGACGCTGGACTCCCTGAGTGCAATTTTCTGAGACAAGCCCAAAAATCCATCAGAAAGAGACCTAGACTCCCCGGTGAGTTTCAATACACAGCCATTCATGCCATACTTGAAAGACACGGCCTGCTCAATGCCTCAAAGACCAGTCGCAAAGCGGAGACAGAGGAACAGCACGATCACTCCACAGTGGGCTGCATGCAACACAGGCGGACCAAGAACCTTCCCCACAGAGATGATTTGCAGTATGCTCTTCAAATTGCCAAACCCCTCTAAACTGCAAAGTTGCAAAGTTGCAAACCCATCAAGATCCCGTTGGCGCGTTGGCATTGGTAAACTTAGAAAGCTTAAAAGGACTGAACTCTCTACCTCCCCTCAACTCAGGCTTCTCACCTCTCTCCGTGACCACCTTTCCATGAGTTGAAGCTTCTTCAAAAGCCTCTCTGGTCTCTGCATCACATACAATCACCCACAGTTAATGTGCCACCATTTATTGAGTAGCTAATCCCTAGAGCTCAAACAGGGTTCCATTTCATCACTGCAGTTGGTATCCCTACGGAAAATAGAAATGATTCGTACGTTCTATATTACGCCACAAAAGAAACAATATATAATCCCTGGATAAGATAGAATTGGGGATGGAACGTCTGCAAACATTGTGTACAACTACTGCCATACCATAAGACCCAACCGTCTCCCAAACTTCGAGTGGAAATACAGATATGAACGCACTTCGACATACATCACAATGAGAAAGACACCCATGAAGACTCGACTAATGGATGCCAAAAGACTACCGTCTTCCCCCGAACATAACGCACCCTGATTCTGAATGTATACAAGCCATCTTTCTGGTTGGATGGAGTCATAATGAGGGTGCGTTGTGTTCGGGGGAAGACGGTAGCAAACCCCTAGAGAATTGTAAGACCTGCAAATCACAGACTGAGAACTCTGCTGTTTTCTGAGTTTGGTCGCTGCACTGAGTGACTTCCTGAGATTCACGTATTCTGCTGAGATCTTTAAGTACGTGTGTGTGCATGTGTGCATGATTGCTGAATATCCGGGTGTTTGCCTGACTGCATGATTGCTTGGCTGTGTGTGACCTGCCATGGTACTTGTGTGCTGTGAAGGCCCTTGGGATGGGTAGTTAACTGTGGCCGTAACTTTGGGAACGCACATTGTAGAAGGCTAGGTCCTTGTAGGATGGAAAACACTAGCAAATAGATAGGCAGAAGAAGACAAAGTTATTACCTTTAGAGGACCAGTCCAGTAGTCAGAGTGTAGGGTTTGCAGTACGGGATATCAGACGGCACTGATGTTTCCCTCCGAGAACGGGGAAGGTGCCGGTAGCTTGGGAGGCCACGCGGCCTGGAAAGTTACCGCTCGAAGAAGCAAGTAGGCCGGTATACATTCAGGGAGAGCAAAGAGGTCCTCATTTGCAGCGGGAGAGTTTAGCCGACTGGCTGCTGGAGCGAGCTCTCAACAAAGCAGCACTGGGGAGGAAGAAGGCAGGCTTGGCCCTCCACCTTAGCTATGGTGGAGAGGACCAAGGAGGAGACTCCAGGAAAGTAGGAGGAAGACAGCGAGCAAGGAGGAGAGTGACATGGGGGCTTAGCTGGCTATGGTGGTCCGCATTCCCATCTTCCTGGTTGGCGCTGTACGTGGAAGGCCCTAGTTCGGGTTGGCTTCTTCAAGGAAGACTTTGGGGTAGTGAAAGGCAAGGCGGCCATAGTGGAAGGGACACATTAGCTTTGTTTGTACTTTGAACCTAGGAGGAAGCAGGTGTATGAGATGGCTATGGTGGACCTTTTTAGTGACTGCCAGTGAGGAGAGGATCCATAAGCTTTGTGTTGTACTTTGAACCTAGGAGGAAGCAGGTGTATGAGATGGCTATGGTGGACCTTTTTAGTGACTGCCAGTGAGGAAAGGATCAAAAGGAGCTTGGAGATGGTAGCTACATGAAGCGGGATTGACATTGGCCATTCTGATTTCCTCTTCCTTTGTCTCTCTCTTTCAAAGTTCTTTGACTGCAGTTGCGATTGAACAGCATCATCTTTCTTTAAGTTGTTGCACTGCAAGATAGCCAGGATCGTAACAGAAGATAGAATCGGTCCTGGAAGATGAAACTCAGAATGGAGAGAAATAAGCCAAACAAACAGAAGTGAGGAACGAGTCTGTATGACGCTGTAAACATTGCGTACAAGTATTCTCTAACATTATCATCTTACCCTGATATCAAGTACTCGATAGAATCACAAACACACAAATGGCTGGTTACTGAAACACAAATAAAAGAATAGAAAAGGCAATTAAAGGAATTGATGATCAATCGCTTCAAAAATTGAAGCTACATCTTAATTTATCGCATCACGTTTTTCATTGCCTATTTTTAAAAGATATTGGCAATTTCTACTATAATATTTTACCTCATCTTGTCATTTTTCACTCACCCTAAATCCTTGACATAATTGCAGCTTTGTGATAAGCTAACTCAATAAAGCCGGGATAGCTCAGTAGGTTAGAGAAGAGGACTGAAAATCCTTGTGTATCTTGGATGAAAGTTTTTACTCCCTGTGGCAATGGGCAATTTATTATTCACAGCTTCTTTTCAACTTACATTACTTGAATTTTTATAATACTATAAGGGTGTCTCCATTTCTAGGATATACAATAGCTCCACGAGCTGCTAAATAAGGTTTGCCCATTCTTAAGATGATTCTTTTATGGCATAGAGGAGTTGATAATAAGATGGTTAACAAAGAAGGTTGATGACCAAAAGTAGATGCGACACCTCGGCAGCAAAAGGAAACACACTGGAAATGCACACAATTAATGTTATAGACAAACTGGTAAAAAGAGGCCACCAGAAAGTCAATGGGGCTCTATGAGAACCCACCTAGCCTCCCTCGATATATGAACCCGCCTTTGCAACCCCGTTCCCACACAATACTCTTGATACCTGCTGCCGTCAGTCAAATCTAGTCCCCTACCAGCCCTCGACCCCACTTGAGTTCTCCACACTTCCCAACAGCAACCCCCACATTCCCCACCTAAGGTTCCTTGTCATGCTCGTGAACTTCTCAGCGCGCTTGACATCCCTTGATAAATCCACTGTCCAGTCCCCCATCACCCCCCAGTTCCTATTCCCCCAGACGCATGACCAAACAAAGACAGATCCTTCCACAGGAAAAGGTTCAGAAAACTCTGACAGACTCACCTGTGTGCTTCCAAAGACATTATTCAAATAAGGTGGCCGCACTGTGAGAAGTGCTCTATATACACGCCTTCGCTCGTCAGAACCCTGGTATAAAAACAAGGATAGTTTGGAAAAGTCAGCACCAAGAAGGAACGCTGCGAGCACCAAGAAGGAACGCTGCGAACGGCAGAACTTCCCCATTCAATGCACTACAATCATAACGAAAGGAAGATGCATCAATACATGCATTTCAATAGTATAATAACAAAGATCTAGAGGCAAGCAGAGGCCTATAGTTTGCCTTCTTGCCGTATCTAGATACCCCAACTTTTTTTCAAATCGGCACATTGTGCACTCTTGCCCTCTTGCCGGTATGTGCGCATTTCTCATGCAGTACGCGCTCTTACACTCTCCCACACATCTGCATGCATACATTAGCTTGATGTTTAATTGTCGAGTTCCATCTCCACACAACTATAGTGGCTCAAAGCTGATGTTGAATGTCCTCAAATTGTTTGGGTATTTCTAAACAGTTATCTGATAGCTGTCACGATGGTGTGTGCAATGTGCATGTGTGGTGCATGTGTGACGAGAGTAATTTGTTGTCCGAAGAAAGGGAGCAAACAGAAGAAAAACGAGGAAATAGAGCAGCCGAGGAGGACACACCTGACCTGCATTTGCATGCGCCATTCACTAAACAGAAACTCACAGGGGGCCATGGCTGAAAGGACAGCTTTGTCAAGCTTTCAACAACATATCCATAACAGCCATGAATCCTAAGCACTAAAGAGAAAAACCCGATTGGTGCTATGCCCATGCTTGGAAACCATGAGCTAGCTACAACAATGCCCACGTTTGTGCTTTGAAGGCATGAACACAGCAGCAGTGGAAAGTATGGTTCCCACCCCAGCCAGTTCGTCGGGTCTCTGCAACTTGTCAGGCAGTTGGCAGTTAAATCTTCTACATTCTGTCCAGGATGCGCCGATGGTTTATCTTGACAGACACCCAGCTAACCCCAAACCAGCAACACCCTTTGAGAGAACCAGTTGATGTTGCTCACATCGAGCATGCAGGACCAGCAGGCTCTACTGATGTGTCTCATTTGACTCTGATAAGAACAGCAACATGCCCAAGGAAAGCAATCTACATAGCTATGAGCCTATAACAGAGATGCCTTCGAAGTCGTGAGCCAAGCCACACTGGCAGGGCCACTAGATTTGTCCGCACCCACACTAGCAGCATCACTCCACCTTCGCGGGGCTTACGAGGAAGACATGGAATACCTTTCAGGTGATCAACTCAGATGAAAATCAGTCTCGCAACACAGGAAGTAACCACTGCGTGCTAGCTTAACACAGTTGGGATGTGCATTTGTGGTCCACAGGGCCCACACCAAAATGACAAAGCATGTAAATGCTGTCAATCGGTGTTTGTGAGTGTCGGCAATGATTGCAAGACAACCCCTGACGAGTGTGTGGAAGTCGACAGTCAGCCACAATGTGCAACCCATCGTGCTACAGGTTAATTCTTTTTCTGGTCTGTGCATGTCAAGCATGCTACAGTTTTCACAGAATTATGACACCTATCTTGTGCGTAGACAAGGCATTCATTCTGCTAGGCCCAAAGGTAGCTTTGCAGACACGAGTACCCAATTTAGCACAGAGTCCTGTAAATATTCCTGGTGCACTTGTGCAGAATGATGCACCAAAGAGAAACGGACGACGAGTAACTGGCCTATCCCAATAACCACATGGATGAAATCAGGACAAAGTTGCGCGCAACACTGACAGAGGCGAAACACAGAGGAGCACAGAGACTTCAGTCAAGGTTGGCCTACGTGGTTGAATTGAAACAATGTTTGAGAGATGGACTGAATTGTACCTGAACTACGGCAAAGGTCCTACATCCAACAACGATACCTGTTGCGGCTTCACCCGCAAAAAAAGAAAGGTAAAAAAGATAAAGAGAAGGGGTGTCAGCTGCAGCACGGGAGGGGAGCACGGAGGTAGGGCGGAGGTAGGGTGAAGCATGCAGCCTTTTTATTTTTTTCCGTATCACATTTCATGCGCGGAGCTAGGGCGGAGGGTGGTGGAGCACGGAGGTTTGGCGGAGGGGGAGCGCAGAGGTAGGAGGAGCACGGAGGTCGGGGGAGCACAGAGGTAGTGCGGAGGGAGAGGGGAGGAGTGGAGGGCAGAGGGGCAACGCCGCAGGAAAGTGGGAGTGGAAGGCAGAGGGAGGGGGGGGAGAGGAGGGTGGAGGGGGAGTGCAGAGGGGGAGCGTGGAGGTAGCTCGGAGGGGGAGGAAGAGTAAATGGCCTATCCCAATATCCACATGCATGAAAGCAAGACAACGTTGCAAGAAACACTGACAGAGCAGACGTACAGACGAGCACAGAGACTGCAGTGAAGGTTGGCCAGCGTGATTGAATTGAAACGACGTTTGAGAGATGAGTGAATTGTACCTGAACTACGGCAAATATATCAAATGTGCTGTCTGAAGTAAACAGGTGGATGTGTGGATGTGCTCTGGAGCCTCGGTCAACCTTTCAGAGGTGGGATGATAAGAGGACAAATGTCGTTATGTAAAAGCACACTACTACTCAAGCAGAAACAAGAGGAGTAAAACTCACCATAAAATTGAAAAAGAAGTTCGATCTGTCGACCATAAACAGCTCCAAGGCACTGAGCCGCAAAAGATACCTGAAACACAACATCATCGTCCTCTGTTATGGAGAAGTCCATACTGGTGGTGCTGGACAGCATATACGATACCTGAAAGCCTACCGAGCGAAGTGCCTCCAATGGAGAAGTCCATACTGGTGGTGCTGGACAGCATATACGATACCTGAAAGCCTACCGAGCGAAGTGCCTCCAATGGTTAGGTGAGCTGAACAATCCAATGATTCGGAATTTCCAATGTTATCTGCCACAGGGACCCTTCAACACATACAGCAGCTATGGATGTGCACATCTGAGCCCTAAGTCCTCCGTGCAAGCATGGATTTGAGCCCGCGACCTCGGCCTCAAGAGCCAAGTATCTTGAAGGTAAATAATCCACAGTTTGTAATGTGGTGGGATCAACAAAAACCTTTGCACCATCCCAGATGCGCCAGACCTCATAATCTCTTGCACGTATGCAGTGAAAGGCGTTCACCAAATCAGCTCAGGACATCAGTTGGCATCAGACACCATGTCATAGAGAACCAGGATATTCCTGGGACATTTCAAAGCAGCACCAAATCAATCCGGACAACGTTTTAACAGACCCTCTGCTGCTCTAAACCCCTACGCCCTGTCACACAGTCAGTACATCTGGTGTGTGAGAAGCACTAAGGACTACTCCTCACTATCCTGAGCACCATTGAATGTCTCTGGTAGGGCCAGCAGAAAGTACACAGCAAATCACACATTCCCCGAAATTCATCCTTTAAACCGCCGGGAGAAGACCCCAGCCTTGCAAGATTCCTCCATGGCCTACCCCTAAACCTTCGGAGGCTCAGGGCTACCGGACCACAATGGCTGGCAGCATCATCCAAAAAAGAAAAAAGTGTGCCGCGGGCAGTTCGACAAAGCTTGGCATGCAGTGCAGTGCCATGAGGCCTGGGCGTGCTGGTGGTCTAAGCCACGACAGCATCTGAGCCACTTCTTGCCCAGGCCGATTCCCCCTGTGCACCAAGCTTTGCCGAAATGCCACGGCGGCGTTCTATTCTTTTCCTTTGGCTGGTGCTGCCATTTGGATCAGGTAGCACTGTTCATCCTAAGCCTTCGGATTTCTACATTTTCAATCCTTGCCGTTGCCTGGGAAAGCTGATTTTTTAAAGATACAGATAGTAAGAAGAGGTACAGGTAGAACAAGATGAAGCCAGTGAGCCCTGCCGCACTAGACGCTTGGCAAGGGACGCTGTCGAGGCTTTGCTGGGTTTAACCGCAATATTCTGGGGATTAAACCGCAATATCATGCCCCCCGAATAGAAAACACACACCACAAGATGCCATTACAGAGAAACAGGCAACAAGTCGAGCATAATTGTGTACGAGATTTGAAAGCCATTTGAGAAGCAGGCCCTTCCTACCTCCGGCTATGTATCTCTCTTAGAGAAGACAATGGCCAAGACCTATCATCAGCGCCATCCCTCCTATGTTGACAGCTCCTCACAGCAGATGACGCACCATCCCCAATCAACTCCCAGTCATCACCTGTGGTGCTTTCCTCTACCGAGGGGGTATCCATGTTAATTGTATCGTCAACAATGAAGCAGATTCGCTTCGTAGTGACCTGTACAACAGTCACAACCAGGCATGTCAGGAACCAGCAAGTCTTTCAACTCATAGAGAGACACTAGAGATACATATAGGCACATCATTCATTCGGTTGCCAGTGACTGTTGCTCGAGAAACATCAATCCAACTAAAAAAAACCCTGTCCAGACAGCATCTACGCAAATGACGTTTCATTCCAATGCTCGGTATTGTCTGCATACAAAACAGCCATGTGCAGCCCTGGTCATAAAACCCCCAAACTGGTGACAAGAGCAGTGAGGCGAGCAAGGGAGAAGTTTCTACCGGACCTCAGAAAGGACACTACCATTTGAATTGGCTAACAGACTTGAAGAGTTCCCTATACTTTGGAGGCAATGTAGCCAAACAAGGCAGGCCTTGTGATGGGCAACCACTTGTACCCTCCCCTACTGCAGCCAAAGGATGGGAAAGAGATGGGCTGGGTGAACAACTGTGGCAAAGGTTTGACAAAAACAAAACAGTCATTGGTCTTCTGTGCCATGGAAAACAAAGGTCGAATACCGGTGTGAGCCACGAAGAAATGCCGAGGCGAAAACTGGATGAACAGTTGAAGAGAATACCCCTAATAGAACTGCCAAACGGGAACATTGCTGAGTCGTTTGATAAGAGATATGAAAGAGCAACAGCTGCCAGCCACATTTATTAAGATCATGAGATGAAGTTTTTATTTGTGAAAAAGGCTTATTGCACAACCCAGAGAAGGATTACAGATTTCCGTCTGCAGTGCAGGTTATACCAATCAGGGAAAGACGGTTCGAGTTCCGATGTTATCCAACAACAGACACCAAGCTGAATCATGGCTGAAGGAAGTGCTCAAATAGAAATGTAGAACAGGAACACTACAGGCTAATTTGATAAGATGCGGAAGAGTAACGGCTACCGTAGAAGTTGGTTTCTGAATTCAACAGGGTCCATTGCTTCACCTGGAGGGAGGCACCAGTGTTGCAAGAGGCTACAGCGTGTCATTGCTGAACTAGACTGCTATTCCTCAAGGGAGAAATGCTGCCACTGGAGGCTGAGCCTCTGCTAGTGGCCACCACTGGTTAGCGAAAAACTTTTCAGCCAAATCAAAACACAGGCAATGAGTTAATATAAAGTTGCCCGGTTCACGGGAAAAAGACATCTCACCTGGAACCTTCCCTTCTGCACTTTGAGTGGTTGCACAAGTGCGGCTGGCACCTCCACCACCACCCGCTCATTCACTTCTGTCATCACAGTCGTGGCCATAGTGGCCATTACAGTTGGCGTGAGCCCTGGGACACCAGGCACAGCAGCTGCAGTTGCTGCAGCAGTTGAGGCTGGCTGCCGTGATGGGGAAACCACACTTGCTTCTGAACCATCCATGGATGGGCGTGCATCTGGTGACATGAGTGAGTCCTCGGAGTACCTCTCTGACTCCTCTGCCACATCGCTACCTGCTCCAGAACCGGCTGCAAACTCCGGTGACAAGGCAGGTGCAGCCTCAGGCATCTCCGCTTTACTTTTCTTCACAGCTGCCACTATCTCACTGTCTGCAGCAGCACCCAGGTGATCTGTTCCCTGAAGAGAACCATCATTCCGCATCAAACACATATGCTCAACAAGATCAGCAACCATATTTCATGGATGTTTCGAGCGATCCTTGCTGTGGGGTTAGGGAGGTTGGTGTTTGTCCATATCACGACATGCTTTGAACTCTTGATTTATTGATCAGTTGGCAGGTGCAGTGTTTATTACCTTATAATTCGTCTTGAGACGCTTTCTCTGCCTTAGACGGTTCTCCATCGTGTCGAGTTTCCAGAACACCTGTACAACAGATGCAGAAGAGAATTACTTTGAACATTAATGACCAATGATGATTGGCAACAAAACCACAGTGCGGCATTCACGCTACTAAATTGCAATGAACCTCTCAGTTCACCACCAATGAGCGCACACAAACACACGCACCATGCACAAATGAGATCACATCCCCATGGCCTGCTTGCTTCTGACTGTGTGGTGGAACATCTTATGCTGTACTTTTCTTCAGCCCTTGAGGATGTGCGTTCGACATTGAGTAGCCGCTGGTACTCTTCTCTGAGCGTCCGTAATCATACCAGTTGATTTCTCCACCGGAGTCTGGTGCTGACTGTGTGTTGAAACACCCTCACCCCTCCTCGAACAAGTACAAGCGTCCATCTTATGGATCTACTAATTCTCAGCAAGTACTTCCACTTGATACGAAAAACTCCCACTTGGGACACAAACCCCAGACACCTGGCACAGAGAGGTAAGACAGGCTTACAAAAAAAAAAGGGTTAAAACTCGCAGGAAAAGAAAGGCACACAGCTGCCATGCATACATTGATGACAACAACAACTCCGCATCTAACATTGCACAGACATACAGAAAAAAACAAAAAACTGTCAGATCACTCAGCATCAGTCACTAAAATAAAGCGCATCACACGAGTGAGAAAGAGCTTCCGCTCTATGAATTTCTTTCGATCGAAGGAAGCTGTGTTGTCTGCGACAGAGATGTAATTACTTTCCGATTGGTGACAGATGTCGAAAATAAAAACCACTACCCCCTTCGCACACATGCGATGTGTCGACTAAACCAAGGAGCTCATTCCATTCCTCACCGTCCTCAGCAACCTCGTGTGATGAGTCACACCACATCACTACTCCAACCCTCGCCAGTCTTTGCAATATTCTCCTAATCATACCTCTGAAAACTCGCTAATGTATAACACAGTACTACACACCCTCCTCATGTGCCATGTCCAATCCTCTATGACAACCAAGGAGACTTCACGAGGTGTGCACACCGGAAAGACATCTGATCAACGGCTGCTCCCCAAACTTGGAAAATCCGTCTCCAGTATGGTCATATCTTGTTGCCACAGATCCTTTTAGCTTCTTGGAGAAAGTGATGAGCGAAAGTGTGCAGAAGTGAGGGCGTCACCAATTTTGAGAGTGAGTTGCGGAGCAAGGAACTAAGTCCAAAGCACTTACCACACCTTACAGAATGATCACATCGGATAGGAAGTCATTGCATCATGTGGTGGTTGTGGTGGGAAATTAGACACAATTCACTTTGCCTCTGCGAGAGTAAGAGAACGTCTTAGCTATAGTAGTTGCAGTCCTTCTGTACTTGTTTGTGTCTCAGAATGATAAGTATTTGATTACTCACATGCACCGGCCATGATGGCCTGGAAATGGCACCATACAGGGAATCGGATTCAAGCAACCTCCTGATAAGTGAGCGCCATCCACGAGCACCTAAGGAAACAGAATAATCGTCAGCTGCAGAGGCCATTGCCCGTCTGTTGACCTGCAAAACCAGAAGACAGCAAAACTGGACAAATGAGCTAAACAAAGTACTAAGTGCCTGGTTAGAAAATTTGAAATACCGCTACAGAGTGGAAATATATGGAACCGGGTAAACCTAGAAATCACAAACAGATGCTGAACACCAATATCAACCACAACTGTTAGAAGATAAATCTCAAGAAGAAACAGAAGCAGCGACACAAGACACAGCTTGGTCCTATTTGTCCAAGGACCGTGTAGATGGGGAACAACTCGCACAGAACCACTTACAAGCCTCAGTGCCAAACACGAATCCAAATCGATGCCGCACAATAAATCAGAGCTCTGAGAGAAAGTGGCACACAGGAATCCAAAACAGATGTTAGTATGATCAGGCTGACTACTCTCTGTTCAGCCCCTGCCACCTTAAAACCACCTCCCCTACATGCCCTTCACCCTGGCTTCTTGTCATCTCAATTATAGCACAATCCCTGGTCCTTTGGCAGCCATGAGAAGCAAAGAGCAGCGGCCAGAACGAGTGAACAGAGGAGCAAGCGAGAAAATGTTAGTGCCATTGAGAAATGGATGCAAGGAACAAAATAATCAGTCCGAGAAGAACGTGCAGCTGAGGAAATGGAATGACAGAGTCCCAAAGGAAGGCAAAAGCACTGGCGCCAGCGGACACTACCACTTCGGGTACGTGTCACTGAATGCCCGCTCTTTCCACATGGCTTCACATTCGAGTTCTCTACCATAATTCTTGTTCTTCTCGGCTCTTTGCCTTTCTCCCTTTCCTCTTCCTTCTGTTCCTGCCCTTCTCCCAAACATGAGTTCCTACTGGACGATGTTAAACAGTTAAACTGGATTCTTACCAAACGAGGAAGGAGACAAATAACAGAGAGAGTAACCCATTAGACAACCTCATCTGAACAGGGTGCCACTGCTTCATGTGCAGCATGTTAACAAAGCACAAATACAGGGGGCAGTGCACACCTACATTGCCAATCATAACAAAGGTAAGAGAACCGACTTCGGAAATAACATTACTTGCCAACGACATAGTACAATAAAGTGAATAAAATTCAATAAATTCAGAGGTGATGACCAAAATACAAATTATAATAATGCACACAATGGATTGCAGCATCCACTGGCATGGTACAAAAGAGCCACAGACCATCTCAGAAAAACAGAGAGCATCTGCATCATAACTCTGTGCATAGTCGTACTGCCCTGGCAAGACGACATAATACAATAAACCCACAGGCGATGATCAAAGAATAACTGTAATACACACACCGGATTGCACAAGAGCCACAGACCATCCCCGAAAAACACAGGACAGCTGCTTAGGAACCCAAATATATAGCCATACTACCCTGGCATGACATCGCCCCAAGCTCTCAACATAATCGACGAACACAAAAAGAAGACCTTTTCAAAACAGCCTTCCCCATATCATTGCAAGCAAATATATGAGAGGGAAAACTTGTTAAAAGGGCCTTTACGATTCAGACCCGTAAATGTGACTCCAACATAAAAGGGCCCTCTCGGCCAGAAATCAATTTCACGAGCAGCATTCCAAAAGACAAGTTCCCTGAGGCAAATGTTGCATCCAGTGTGAGATGAAAAAGTTTTGAATAGTCACAGTCAGGTCCTAGACGAACAGGCACTGGGTTCAAATTTTAAGACTGAGATAGGGTCATGTCTGTTCAGCAATAAGTCAAAGGTCACAGTCCCAGACCAGTCACAGCCCCACGAGTCAAATCTGACTCAGACCAGGAGTCCAAAAGACAGGCCCGACTGCCAAAGCAGCAGCAAACCATCGGAAAGGGTACTGGGACACACTTTGCAACAACAGGTACTGGGCAGGAGTCCCAGGCACTTGGAGGCCGAAAGCAGACCTCGCCAGACCAGTCCAGCGCGGCCAGCCTCCCCATTCGGCAGATACTCTTTCGCATGAGAGTGTGGAAGTGCTGAAGGCACTTGTGCGCCAGATGTGATTGAGCAGCGCTAGGCTTGAGAGTTGCGCTGAAGGAAGAGAGACTTGGGCGCTGGCTGGAAGGAAGGCAGCCATAGCTGCGCCAGTGCTAGTTAGTGTTAGTAACAGGGATAGTTAGTAGAGAAGACCAGTGAGTAGTATTCAGAGTAGATTCTCGTGAGATAGGGAGTGTGCATGCATGGTGAGTGTAAGTAGACCAGGACTATAGACAGAAGAGAGAGAAGTGAGCTATGGTGTGACTTACCTGCGGAGCTTCGTCCTCGATGGTTGGCAGCTGGCGCCGCTGAGCGCCAGGCCTTGAACTCTTGTTGGATGAAGAAGACTTGTAATTCTGTTGGGCGCTATACATTTTGAGCTCTGATTCTCTTTCTTTAATCTGGTTATGATAATCGAGTTACGCTTCCTGGTTTCCACTCATCTTCCATTGAACTTCGTGTGAGACATTGCAATCTATGTGATCTGTGTTACATGCATGCTATCTGGTACACTCCAGCAAGTGACGAACGGACGGGTTCCTTGCATTCTTAAACCCTGTAAATGGGTTCCAGTGCACACTATAACGAATTAATGGAATGGAAGATGAACCAACATAGTCGAAAGAACTGGAATCCTCACCTCCGCATACCGCATTCTCCTTGCTCCTTCGACAAGCATTGCCAAAGTTGAGCCCCCGCTTGAACCCCTGACAGGCGAGGACAAACGGTCAAACCCAGGAAGCCGGGCTGCATCATGTGCACTCTCAGCCCATGCAGCAGCGATGGCCTCCTGAATGTTCCACCTCTTGAAGCGCTCATCATCTGATTCTGCCCTCCTTTGGCCAGACGTACACATTGCAACGGCGCCCCACCCTCTCTTTGCCCCGATCTTTGCCTTTCGCTCTTTGTCCCTGGCTGCGGCCATGGCCGCGGCCTTTGCTGCTGCTCTGTCCAACGGCGGTGTTGTGCGCTCCTTGGGGGCATTCTGGTTCATGTCTTTGAAATTCAACAACTTCCCGCTCCCCGAACTTCCGCTTCCAGATCCTCCAGTTGGGCTCTCCAACTCCGAAGTTCTGCGCAAAGCACCACGGTTCATGGGACTGCTGTTTTCACCTCCATAACCAGCCCCTGCAGCAGCCATAGCAAGCGCCATAGCAGCTGGGGGAGATGCAAAGGCAGCACCCCACCCCGGAGAGATCATTGCGAGAGCAGCCTGCAGAACCACAGCCCCACACACTGTAATCATGACCATCTTTGCCTATCTACAAGAACCCTGAGCCCTTGTGACAGAAAGCCTTTACAAAAGAGCAAGACCACCACCAACACCGTTCACAGCATCACAGCAGCCATAGAATAAACGCAAGACCACCATCAACGCCGTTCAGAGTATCACAGCGATCCATATAATATTAAGTATCCAATCCAATACCAATATCCATTACTTGGATTTAATTCAGTGCACTTTTCTGTTGGGTTTTCAATGTTAAAAAACAGGTCAGTATGCTCCTGGCTCCTTGTGCGTTCTGGGGAGCGTCAGTCCAACTCCATTCCACTGGAAGCTAAGTTATGAATACTAGGGGACCTGTTGCAGCTACGCCCACAATAAAAATGGAATGTTTGCCAAGAAGTTGGACTCTCTCCATCTTCTCTCTCTCTCTCTCTCTCTTCCTCTCTCTCTCACACACAGACACACACACACACGAAGATTGCGATGGATTCTCTCTCTGGTTCATGCACAGGCTTGCGGATTTTTCACTTTAATTGTTCACGATGGACCATCCTGCTTAAGCCCGTGTCTACTCCCTCCCTCTCCTGCCTTCCCGTTCTCTCTCTCTCTCCCTCTTTCTCTCTATGCGTCTTACCTCTTGCAGCTGCATATGTGCCCACTTCGTTAGACTTGGAGGGGGGGGGGGGGGGGGGGGGGGGGGGGGGTAGTAGTTTGGTGGTTCTTTTTTTTCCCCCCCCTTTTTTTTTTTTGCCTTTTCCTGCGTTGGGGGGGGGGGGGGGGGGGGGGGGGGGGGGGGGGAGGCGCTGGCGCATAGCTAGTTGGGTCTCTATCTTTCTCCCCCTCACTCTTTCTCTACTCTCTCTCCGGCGTCATGGGCGCGCTTGTTCCCCCCCCCCCCCCTTTTTTAACCGTCTCGATGAACCACAGAACTGATCGCATCAGATACTGTACTTGCTCGTGTAGGGGGGAGGGATGGGGGAGGGGGACACACAGTTGGTTACAATGGGTTCACTCTCACTCTCTCTCTCTCTCTCTCTCTCTCTCTCCCCCACATCTTGCTCGTGCACATTTAAACCATCTCTCTCTCTCTCTCTCTCTCTCTCTCTCTCTCTCCCCCACATCTTGCTCGTGCACATTTAAACCATCTCTCTCTCTCTCTCTCTCTCTCGATCGTGCATGCACACACTTTTTTATTTCTTTTATAAAATAAAAAGGTCTCGATAGACCACGGATAAGATATGAAACTGAACGGAGCAGATACTACGCTTGATCATGGGAGAAGATCGGCTTTGAAACTGATCAAAGCAGATACTACACTTCATCGTTGGGGGGAGGGGGGATGCCCATAGCTAGTTAGATTGGGTTCACTCTCTCTCTCTCTCTCTCCCCCTCCCTCTCTCGCGTTCGCGCATGCTTTTGTTTTTCTTTTTTAAATAAAAAGGTATCGATGGACCACAAATCAGATAGGAAACTGAATGGAGCAGACACTACGGCTTGATGATGTGAGAAGATCGGATATGAAACTGATCGAAGCAGATATATTGGGTTCTCTCTCTGTCTCTCTCTCTCACTCATACGCGCGTGCTCGCGTGCTTTTTTTTTCGTTTTTTTAAATAAAAAAAGGTATCGATAGACCACGGCTCAGATATGAAACGGAACGGAGCACTCATCGAAGCAGATACTACACTTGATCGTGTTTCTGGGAGGAGGGGGAGGCGCGTAGTTGGGTTAGATTGGGTTCTCTCTCTCTCTCTCTCTTGCACGCGCATGCTCGCGTGCTTTTTTTTTTCTTTTCTTTAATTGGCTTGATGGACCATGGATTAGATATGAAACCGAACGGACCAGATACTACGCTTGATCGTGCGGGGAGAAAGGATCGGATATGAAACTGATCGAAGCAGATACTAC